AAGGAACCAACCTAATGGCAATATGTGAGTGAATGAATATGTATTATTAATAGATATCTATTACATTTCAACAATCACCCCAAACATTACCAGCCCTAAAGCAACACATACACTTTGTATAGGAAAACCAGGAACAGCTAACTGGATGATTCTGCTGCAGGGTCCCCAGTGATGTTTCAGGAAAATTATTGGCCTCTGCTGCAGTCATTTGAAGTCTGGATGCTGGCTGCTGAGTGAGACATGCGATGTTCCTTCCACATGGGCTTCTCCATAGTCTGTTTGGGTGTCTTCACAATGTATTAAGTTACCTTCTCCCAGAAGAAGAGGTTCAAGCCAGATAACTATGAAAACCACTACCATGGAAAGCCCAACAATGGAAATCAGACTCCATTTCTGCAATATCGTAATGGTTACACAGTTGAAGCCAGCTGAGTGTCAGAGAGAGCGACAACAACAGGGTATGCAGATCAGGAGGTGGCGACGTGAGGATCTTCCAGCTCTGACCTTGGAGTCTGTCACATCATATGATGTAGGTCACTAATGTATGCATTTTCACCTTTCAAGATTTATGTCTCACTCTAATACAAGTTGAGCTTTTTTCCTTTCAGTATGGTATACTTCAAGCCTGAGTAACATTTTAAAGACATTCCATGGGCATGGTTGAGGCCAATAGCACTCATAAAGATCTAAAATGGTAAACAGAGGTTTGAGCAAAAGTAAACTTAAATGAGGAGGCCTTTAACCAGACTATGCATGCCATTTTCCTTTTGAAATCATTGCCTTAAATTATATCAAATATGTCCTCTGGAAATAATCCAGTGCCGTTTAGGAGAATTCCACACATTTTGGTAGCTACATAAAAAAGAAGAGTGTACATTTCCACTTTGTATTTTAATGTTTTAAAAGACCCGTGGGTTAGCCGGAAAGTGAAAATGAAGTTTACAAGGACTTCCATGTGTTCCGTGAACTCTCGGTAATCAGCTCCATTTATGTTGATGGGTCATAAACTTGATGGGCGGATGGCTGGTCCTCATTGACACACTGCAGTACCAAGACTTAGGCTTCAACACCGTTGCCTATGTGGACCTATAGATATGCTTCTCAAACTCACTGCACTCAGGTTAGTTCTGCATCATAGTGATCGTCCATCAGGTTTCTGAACTGTGCATCTAAGCGGGGAGAGATTGCCCATGTTTCTCCCACGGAGTGGCTATTGGATTTGAACCTACAAAGTGGCTGTTGGATTTGAACCTCCAGAGGCACAAAACCCTTGGTTAGCAGTGCAACACCATGCAGACTATACCACCAGAGCTCCCTCTGTGTGCTGAGTGTCCTATAAAAAACAAATAAACAAACAAAATCCCACTTTGTTACTATTGAGTTCATTCCAAATCATACGACTCCCTGTGTTACAAAGCAGAACAGGTCCGTGGTTTTCTTCACTATAATATTTACAGAAACAGATTACTTGACTTTTTTTCTGTGGTGCAAATGGGTGGGTTTTATCATCAACCTTTAAGTTAGCTGTTGTTAGGTGCTGAGTCGACTACAATTCATAGCGCCCCCGGGAACAACACACCTGAAGCTTGAGCTATCCTGCACCATCCTCATGATCTCTGTCATGCTCAAGCCAGTTGTGGTAGTGACTCTTGTTGTTGTTGTTGTTATGTGTTGTTGAGTTGTTTCTGTCTTACTGTGAAGTGGATTTTCAGAGACACCATATCATACAAGAGGAGATTTCTCTTTCTCCCATGGATTGGCTGGTTGGAATTGAACTGTGTGCCTTTGGGTTGGCAGCACAAATCCTTACCACAAAGCCACCAGAGCTCCCTGTGAATGTTTTTGTTGTTGTTAAGTGCCATTGAGTTGACGGCGACTCATGGTGACCCTAGGCACAACACCTCTGAACCTTGCCCTATCCTATCTGTTTGCACCACAGAAGAAACTTAAAGTGACCTAAAACTTAGCAGAAATCTTTCCTTTTGTTTCCACTCGAGTTGTTTCCTGTCTTGTTGTTCCTTACGATGCCAAGTTTTGTGAACGAATAACCCTACCAGCAGCCTCACCTTCCTCACCCCCCACATGCCTTCCGGTGCTCAGTTACTCTTCTGTACTCCCTGCCCTCTTTGCCAAAACTACTCTCTCACGATCTAACAACCACACAAACTCAACAGCATTTTGTGTTATTGGTCCCTTGGATTTCTTAAAGCACTCTTTGGGATACATATCCATATATTCTGTTCACCTTCCTTGAGTTCTGCCTCTTTTTTCTGACTTTTAATAATTTTGAATCATGAACCAAAGTAATAATAGTAAACTGATAAGAATAGATACTGCTCTTGATCTCAGACAAATGGGAAAGATGAAGTGTGAACAACGACGTATATGAACTTTATAAATAAAACAGTATAAATATTTTTTTAAAAAGTAAAATAAAATAAATATTAAAAAAGTAGTGATTTTGTGTTCTTGATGTCTGCTCTCAGCCCAGTCCTCAGCACTATTGACCTAAAATTACCCCAGTCCCTCAGCTTAAGCCATCTCTTGAATATGTCTGTATCCTTGTCTGTAATTTTTATTCTGATGAATCTGAAGCTCCGAATCCCTGAAGCACTTCAGGCCCCCATCACATTTTATCAATGCACCACCAGGCTCAGTCATCTAGGTTACCTTGTTTTACCCTTTCTTTCTGTGGATCTCTGACTTTGTAAATCCTTGAACCTATCATCTCTGCCTTTTCCCTGTCTCTTGCATTTATACCAACATCTAAACAAAATTAGCATAACATTGTTTGTGAAAATACCTCCCAGGAAGGAGCAGCCAGCCAATAAATGCAGAAGGCATGCATTACTTGTGTAGGAAATATAGCCTTACACGTCTCCCTATTATCCCTCTGTGATCTAGTCTATTTGTTCATTATTTCTTGCCTAACCTCTAAGATAATTCTCTTTCTCTTTAGTATATAGGTGGCCTCCCATTCACATTACTACCAACCATATGTTTTTTAAGGGAAGAATTGCTCTGCATATTTTATCTTTGTAATATATCCTGAGTGGAATGTTGCAGTGAGTAATTTGCTGATGTTAAGTTCTTAGATGTTCACTTAAAGATGTTTAGTTTTGGTTGAATGGGAGAGGAGAACAAAAGAACAAGGGGAGAAAAAGAAGACATAAGGAAACAATGGTGGAGGGTGGATGGAGATCGAAGGGGGGAGGGAGAGGGAGCAGAGATTAGCAGGGTGAGGAGAAGGTGAGGTATGTACAGCAAGGATTCAGTAAGACTTTTAAAATAAAGACATTGTATAATTATAATTAATGCTATAAAACAAAATATGTATGAGCGATGGAATGAAAACCAATAAAAAAGACATTCAGTGTTATAATTTCCTGTTCAAAGCACTGCTGCTATATATATCAGTCAATGCTGAAAAGTTTTTGCTTTTAAATTTGTTAAAGTTAATATTTCATGAGTTCTTTGTTTTTCAATGCAGCATAGTATTCCATTGTGTGGCTATACCACAGCTTCTCTAGCCACTCGTTTGTTGATGGGTACTTGGGTTGTTTCCAACTCCTTGCTATTGTGAAGAAACCCCAGAGGACATTATGCTAAGTTAAATATCTCAGTCACAAATGGACAAATACTGCATAATGCCACTGTTGTAAAATGGGACTGACTTCGGGGTTGGGGGGAACCTAAGAAAAGAGGGATAAATGTGCATTAAAACAGATGAGAGAGAGAACTTTTAAAAAGGAATATAAGATTAGGTATTATTTTCATAACAAGACTACAGAAAAGAAATGCTTATTAAAGTGGACTGTGGACTGGGAGGGGCTTGTATAATAATGAAAGATTTTTTTTTTTCGTCAAAGAGAAAACTGAATTGGTGGGGAGGGGTGGGCAGGGAAGAAAATGTGCAACAATGAATGAATATGGAAAAATCAAATGGAAAGAATATGCTGTAAAAATATATATATTGCTGTAAAAATATATATATTGCATTAAAAATCATTTAATTAAAAAATTGTTAATCTTGTTTTAAAAAAGTCTTCTATTTGCATCAGAACTAACTTACCAATGAAATAAACAGAAGACAATTAATTCCACCATGAGGCAGCTTCTGTCTATTCAAGCTCTTACTGCAAACTCTGACCTTGGTCCCCCCCCCCTTTTTTTTTAACTCCTTTTGCTCAAGTAACCTTGTCCTCTTTGGTCCATATCATGTCCTTCACCAAGAATCAGTCTTTTTAGCCTGTTTCAGAGCCCTAAGATCCTAGGTATCCCCAAAGTCTATATCAAATATTTACAGATCTCCCCTCCATTCTTGACACAATGTCTTAGTTCTCTCATATTTTTAAACAATCCTATCTGTGAGGCACCTCTTTCTCCCATGGTTCATTGTTGCCTGTTAGAAGCCAGGGTCTTATTTCATTCAATTCTTTCCTGCCACAACAGTTTATATGAAGATTTGTACCTTGTAGGTTTATTGTTGGAGACTAGGGTGTAGATGTTACTCACAATTAATTAGCTAATTGGATTTGGCCCCATATTTTAAGTGGCCTTAGGGAGGGTGGCATTTTTTGATCTCTCAATAAAACAGGCTTGGAAACAGGAGTGGCATTCACTTCCAGAAAATGCTTGTCTTTGGAAAGTCTATGAATTTGGAGCAAATATTAAAGTTTTGTGTTCAAGACTTTCATTCATTGGGTTGCTGTGGGTCGTCTACGACTCTACGGCACTTAACAACAACAAATGACTCTTGCTTACAAAAATTTTTAAAACATGAAAGCATTTTTAAATGAATGTTTGCTTATTTTTTTTTCTTTTATAAATTTATTTGAGAGGATTCTTCAATCTCAGTCAGCTCTAGGGCATGTTGGGCCTGGCTGAAGTAGCACTTGGCTGGTGCTTGGAATCTTCTGGAAACAGGGCTTACTTAGTTGTTAGTGACTTCTTTTTCTCACAACCTCATGGTGTCATTGTTCTGTAACTTCTCATTTCAGGGGGAGCAAAGAAGAAAAGAGAACAAAAGGCAACTTCAGGTAAGAGTTTGTTTGGCTTTATTTCCTGCTTTCATTTTCATCTCTTATAAAAATTTATTTTAATAAAATGTTTAAAAGTTCATGTAAAAAAAGTAATACTTCATGGCCTCTAGTGTGATCAATAAGAAGTTGACAAGAATGAATTCATATAATTTAGCATTTGATATTTCCTGTCTCTCAATAGTACCTTTCCTAGTCTGTCTTTTTGTTCAAAAGAAAACAAGAATAATGTTTCATTATCACAGCGGCCAATTTAAAAGTAAATTTTACAAACTCCACTCTCAGCATATGGAAGTTGGGAACTGACAACCAGTTTATTTTCCCAAATCTCTATGAAGCACAATTCTTCTTCTTAACACTGTGTCATTGTTGTTCTGCAGTGTTGGCTACAACACTGGTTAAGAATCTTTACAGGTTTGAGAAATATTGAACGTTTTCATATGTAAATGTCCTGTGTATTCAGAAGTCAGTGATGCATGACACAGTGCCTTAACCGTTGATGTTGCTCCTCTTATTGTGTGCTATCAAGTCATTGTCAACTCATGGTGACCCTATACGACAAGGTAGAGTTACCCTTAGGATTGCTTACACTGTAGTTTTTGTGAAAGCAAATAGCCACATCTTTTCTTCAGTAGTCCCACTAACGGCATTGAACTACTGGTGTAATAGTTAGCAGTCAAACTTTTAACCACTGCACCGCTATAACTCCTACCATCACACAAAGTTGCTATTAGGTGCCGTCGAGTCAACAACTCGGTGACACTACAAACAATGAAACTGAACCCTGCCCTGTCCTGTGCCATTTTCATCATCTCCAATATACATGAGCCAGTTATTATAGTCACTGTGTCAATCCATCTCCTTAAGAGTCTTCCTTTATTTCACTGACCCTCCACCTTTCCAAGCATGATGTCCTTTTACAAGGACTGGCCCCATCTAACAACAGGTCCAAAATATGTGAGTTGAAATTTCACTATCTTTACTTCTAAGAAGCACCCTGGTTGTACCTCCTCCAAGATGAATTCATTCGTTCTTTTGTCCAAAAGACATTCAGTACTCTTCTTCAACACTGTCACTCAAAGGCATCCATTCCTCTGTTATTGTTAGTTGTTGTCCAACTTTCAAATGCATATTAAGTAATTGAAAAGACCATGACTTTGATCAAGTGCACCTTAGTGTTTGACATCACTGCTCTTCAGCCCCTTGAAGAGGTCTCTAGCAGCAAGGTTTCTCAATGCAATGCATAGTTTGATATCTTGAGCTTATGGATTGCGGATCCAAGTAATATGAAATCACTGGCAATTTCTATTTTATCTCCCTTACGATATTGTTTATTGGCCCAGTAATGAGACTTTTTGTTTTCTTTTTGTTGTTGTTGTTGTTCAGAATGTTTTTATTGTTAGTAGGTGCCATGGGGTTGAGTATGACCCATAATGACCTTATGAATAACAGATCTGAACCTTATCCTATCCTGTACAATCCTCACACTTTCTGACATACTAGAGTCCACTGCAGCAGGCACTGTGTCTATCGGTCTGGTTGTGTTTTCTTGATATTGAACTGTAATCCATATTGAAGGGTGTAGTCTTTGACCTTCTGCAGCAAGCTCTACAAGAACTCCTCACTTTCAACAAACAAGGATGTGTCATCTGCAAAAGGCAGGTTGTTGATGAGTCTTCCTCCAGTCCTGCTGCCCACATTCTTCTTCTTAAAGTCAAGCTTCTTGAATGATTTGCTCTGTGTTCGGATTGAATAGAAATGGAAAGTGAATACAGTCCTGACACACACCTTTCTTGATTTTAAACCATGCTCAGAGTGTTACATGGTCTGTTAAGATGGCAGCTTCCTGGTCTAAATATATGTTCAGCATGAGCACAATTAAGTCTTCTGAGATTCCTATCCATCAATGTTTACTGGATAAAGTATAAATAATATTTTCCATTTTGATGACTTGATTTTTTTTTTTTACTTGAAAACCCAATAGAAAAATTTTACTTTCCAAGTACATTTCTGCATAGGGTCTGTGTTCCAGAACATGATTCCTAAATATTGACAATTATCATTGGTAATTCTCACGTAGCATGTGTAACTGACCACTACCTTTCCTAAGTTACCCTAAGCCCTCTATTCCTATAGACACCTATCACTCTCAACTATTCTCATCTTTCAACTTTATTTTTTGTCTGTTGAATAAGGTATTAAGTGTGCTTCCAAACAGTGGAGTCATCGCAGGACAAGAATCTATATTAATAAAATAATCATGTAAACAACTTAAGCCCATCTCTTCTCTTCTTCCCAACATGAGCATTCATCTCAGACTAGCAGATAAGTTAGTGTTTGCACAGTTAACCTGATAAATGTTATTGTGTGTATCTTCTTTGTGACGCTTTTAAAACCTAATCGTGGCTACAGACAGAAACAGACACATGCATTGTGATGACAAAACTTGTCCAGTCTCACAAATGTGATTACATCCATTTTGGACCTTTGAAAGAAAATTACTAGAACTGGTTAAAAAAGAAAAAGAAAAGAAAAAAATGATCCTGTAGGTACCAGCTTTTTAAATTACAGAAATGTCATAGTTTGAAAGAAAGTTAAATTGGTCTAAGTGTTAAACTAGATGTCCCCTTAAGTTCCCTCATGCCATTCTCATGAAGTCTTAAAAATCTGAGACCAAGGTGGCTCAGGTGAAGCAAGAATACCGATGTCTTCATCTTGTGCTGACTTCTTTCCAGTTCTCTGTTTTTCCTGTCCCTGTTTATTCCCCTCCAAGTGCTAGTCATGTTGACATTCAATTCTGTTTTTCACTTGCCAAATATTTTTCAACACTTAGAGCATCTTTATGAGTCACTAGCAAATTTTAAAACTTTTCAGGGAGCTCTGGTAATGAATAGGGTTTTGTGCTGCCCACACAAAGATGGTTCACATCCCCCAGGGACACCATGGGAGAAAGACGGTCAGTCTCCTCCCATACTGTTCACAGCATTGAGAATGCTCCCAAATGGCCACCTATGAGTTGGTTCCTACTGGAGGACAAGAAACAGAGATTGTCATTTTGGTGAAAGTTTACACAGCAAATTGGGTTTCCTTTTAACAATGCATACAAACTTAACATTTGTGACTTTGATTATAATTCTCACAGTTTAACAGCACTTTATAATTTAATCCTCTATACATTTACCACTTCTAGTCATCTTTCCCACCCCACCCCCCACACACACACCCCGGGAAGCTCTGGTGGCCTATTGTTAAGAAGTTAGGTTGCCAACCCAAAGGCAGGTAAATCCACTAGCTTCTCCTTGGGAGAAAGATTGGCAAGCTCCTATCCTTTAATTTACAGCCTCTGAAAACCGACTGAAAGATTAGCAGAAACTCACTGAAACGGTATGAGTCAGTTCCAGCTTGATATTACACAACAACATCCTGCTTTTTGAGCTTGATCCCTTAGCAAATACTCCTCCCTTGAGGTTTTATGGATAATTGTGCTAAGGAGTGCGTACCACCCTGATATTATTGTTTACATTCTAGCCTTGACTACTATTTGACTAAAAGTTGAGCCATAGGAGTAATTTCAGTTCCAGACTTGATCAATATTCTAAGGGATTTCAGGGATTCCTCCAGTATGTCATACCAGTTGTTTTTGTGTTGATAGGCGCCCTTGAGTGGAGTACGACTCATAGCAATTGTATAAACAACAGATACGAACCCTGTACTAACCTATGCCGTTCTTATCATCTCTGACACACTTGAGCCTATTAATAGCTGCAGTCCCTGTGTCTGCACATGCCATTTAGGGCCTTCCTGTCTTTCGCTGGCCCTCCACCTTTCCAAGCATGATATCCCTTTCCAACAATCAGCTTCCCAAGCTCTGGTGGCCTAGTGGCAAGAAGCTGTACTGCAATCCCAGAGGTGCATGGTTCGAACCCACCAGATGCTCTGCTGGAGAAGGAGGAACAATCTCCTCCTGTACCAATCAAATCTGATTTGATGGTACACACACACCCACACAAAATAATAACATTTAAAAAAAAAGAAACAGCCTCCACTAGCAACAGGGCCCAAAGTATGTAAGACAGAATTTCATTATCCTTGCCTCCAAGGATCATTCTGTCTGCACTATTTCCAAGATATATCTGTTTGGGTTTCTTGGCAGTTCATTAGATATTCACATTAGTTGGCCTGGTCTGTTTCATGATTTTGAGTTTTCTTCTACATTTTTCTCCTACTCTATCCATAACCTCCTTTTATGACCCCTTTCAGAGTTGTCAGTTGTAGTAGCAGCTCTTGCGGTCATGGAGCCTGGGGTTTGTGCACCTCACTAGTTGTTGGGACCAATCATTTCCATGCATCTTTGATTCTCTTCATTTTCTTTGTTCCAAGTACGGAGAGACCAGTAGTTTTACTATAAAGAAACAAAACAAAACCCTGGCAAGCTTTGAAGATGCCTGACCCTCCTGACCAAAAGTAGAATATAGAACATTTGCTTTTGTGGATTATATTATAGCAATTGATTTGAATGATTCCTTGAACTGGTCTTGAGGTCCCAAGCCCAATGACTAAATTCCCTCAAGAAACTCAATGGCTCTATGGCTAAGAAGTTTAATAACTTTTAAGCCTGTGTGATTTACTATAGTCAAGTATATGATTACAGCACATGTGGATAAACAGCTTCTCTCTCTCTGTCTCTCTCTCTCTCACACACACACACACACACACACACACACACGAAGATGAATCCAGATTGCATTATGTCTGTAGATCATATCGTATTTGAGTAGTCTGGGCATTTTCACAGTGCTTTATCTTCCTGGCTATGAGCGCAGTGTACAGTACCAGTATTTTTCTGAAGGGAAAAATAGTTAACTTTCTGAGAAAACTCTCTATAGTTGAACAGCCAGCTCACACCACATGATTCACAGTTTGTCGGCGTATTGGATTTCCAAGACATAGAGATTTTCCTTGTTAATTCAGGGGTGAACAATGACTGGAGCTCAAGGTTT